TCCCGATTTTTCTGTCATTTTTTTGAATCCCGAATTTTAGTGCCCCTGCCGAAAATCTCCCGGAGCTACCATTCTCCCAAACTTTTCCTGCTGTTCCACCGGGACAACAAAACTGAAAAACCATATCGCAGAATTCATAGCGCAGCCGAGCCAATTCCAGTTTCCAACTATGGCGGCAGCTACTTGGTTTATTACTTATTACTTTCTGGGTCGCAAAATAAACTTTTAACATATTTTCAGGCAAGAATGTAGCTGTGTACACTTCAAAAAGCTGAGCTGACGAGAACAGCAAACTCCCAGGACATCGTTTTCAAGCCCCCGCGGTCTTTCACTACTCAGGTTAAACATGATATATAAAGCCAAACACATGTTTAAGTTATCAAAGTGACTTCTTTGATAACTTAAACATGTGTTTGGCTTTTTTCAGTGCTTTATTTGTTCATGAGTAAATCGGTTTGGCTGAGATTACAGTTATTAGATTAGATTAAATTTAACTTTATTAATCCCTCGGGTGGGTTCCTCCAGGGTTTTCACACAGCTGAATAAACGTCAAACAGAAAACTGATTAAACAGAAGAGTGAGACGGTCCAGAATTTACACCAGCTTCCGGTTATATTTTAGACAGCAAGGAGCCGATGGCAGTTTCATTCCACCGAGAGGGCTCGTGATGTAATTCTGAAGGCTAGACCGTCCAATTTCACAGTCGCTCACTTCCGGCCTACCCGGCTTTCGGAGGACCCGGCCCACTTAGACAGCGAAGGCCTTCACTCATGTACAGAGCAGTTTGTGCCGGTGGATGCAGCCTCTGAATTTGGACACCCCCACTGTTTCTGGCCAGCCAATAATAACAGTGACATTTAACTTATTTTATCTGATAAATAAACATTGTAAAATTCAAGTTTTTTTGTATATATATATATGTATATGTATACCACTCCCCCCCAACAGCCCCTTTGACTCCCTAATTCTGAGGTCTCAAGGTTGGCAAGTATGAATGACACACAGGAGAAATGCAGACTACCTAAGGGAAGCACACCATATAAATACACACGCGAGGAAATGGCTGACACTAATCAAACACGACGAGGCAGAGAGGAAGCAAAACAGAACACACTGACCTGAGACACGGACCTTCAAAGTAAAACAGGAAATTTATGGTTTAAAAAGTAAGGCTTTTTTTAGCCTTACTTTTTAATTGTTTTTATCGACAACTCTGTTTCCCTGGGTCTTTTCCCCTGTGTTATGGACCTTAAAGGCCTTGCAAATATTGTTGGACATAAACCGGTCCGTTGTGCAAAAAAGGCTGGGGACCGCTGTTCTAGTTGACCTTTGCACCACATTTAATATTCAACTGTGTGAATTCTAAAAAAGCTAATCTAAAAAAAGAATGGGACTGTGCTTACATGCTTACTTTAAGCGAAATGAACATGAACGTACATGAACATTTAAATCTCACTATCGCGAAAATAACTTAAAAATGTTGGTATCATTTGCCAAAGTTTCTACCGCTGCTTTGTCGTGGGTTAGGAGTCGGGATTGCTGGGGCTCTGTTTTCCCGTTTTCTTTCATTTCTTGGAATAGGTGGGCATGGCACTGGCATTTGGAGTTTCCCCCACACCTGCGGATCATTTAGTGTCATCAGTCAGGGTACTTAAGGAATGAGTAATTCATCGTTGAATTATTGTCTCAGCCGTAGTGATTACAGTGATTAAAGCGTTCACTGGAATTCTCATCTGCTTCCTGCTAGCTCACCTACCAGCTTATCAGCCCATACCACCCACCATCCACGCCAGCCTGCCTCGCCTGCATTCCATCCTCACCCAGGACACCTCACCCAGATCAAGCCACCCAGCACGCCTGCTTAATCATCTACCTGTGCCTAGCCCTGCCTCAGCCACCAGCTTCCAAAACTCTGCTCGAGTCTGTAGTTAAATCACCCTTTCGTATACTTAACCCTACTTCCATTTATCTTATGCCGTTCGATGACTGTTGTTCCTCTCCCTCTTTATAGATTGCCCGAGTCTCTTTTGTCAGTTCGCTTTTCTGACCCATTGTTGTTGCTGTATTGTTGGGTTTTTCCCACTATAGAAAAACCTTTTCACTGCAGCTTGTGTGTATCAGCATCATCTGCTAACTGGGTCCATTTCCCGTTATACTAGACACCCAGAAAGAAAAAAAATCAGCTGGACCATGAACGATACACCCGACCCATCCTTTAAATCCGGGGAAAATGAGGCCGCATTTGTGGGCCGTATTTGGAGGAGCCTTCAAATTGGGACAGACTTCGTTGCCTCACTGTGACGTAATTGAGACCATTGTAGCATGGAGCGTCGTGCCGTTGGGAATTTGGTAGACTGCGTGGGAGTACATTTGCCATGTTGGGAAAACCCTTCTCCGCAGGCAAATACTTCCACAAACAGACACAACCACAGTAGCATACATTAAGCATGAGAAGACACTGCTGTGGTGTCTCCAACTGATTGTTTCCCTGAGCATCACCAAGCTGAAACCATAAATTGCACACTGGCTTCACTTTTCAGCCCTGGAAACTAAACCCATCTTTAAACTAAAGTCTATGCCCTTTAATCCTTAAAACTGCATTTGTTTGAACTGAAATAAATCATGAACAGCTAAAAAAAAATTCACCTGTTGCAAAGAATCTCAAAACATTGCCTTAAATCAGGGGCGTCTAACTCAAGGTCTCAAGGGCCGGTGTACTGCAGGTTTTAGATGTGTCCTTGATCCAACACAGCTGATTTAAATGATTAAATGACCTCCTCAACATGTCATGAAGTTCTCCAGAGGTCTGGTAATGAATTCATCATTTGATTGAGTTTAGATGACCAAGGGTGGGATCTAAAACCTGCAGGACACTGGCCCTTGAGGCCTGGAGTCAGGGCTGGACTGGGACAAAAAATCAGCCCGGGCATTTTGACTAGTGACCGGCCCACCATGGTATTATAGGAAAAGCCATAGGGTCTTTATAATAAACTTAAACCTACACCATCCTCCCTATTCTGGTATTCTAAACAGTACTTAGCAAAAATATAAAACAACCTAATTTATAATTACATATACCTAACTAATAGGCTTGCCAACTCCCAGCAAAAAAAGAAAAGAAAAAAAATAGGGAACTACTCCCCCACCCTCTGCCTCAAGATGCTTAATTGACAAAACCGATTTTAATTTAATGCACGTATAAAACAAATGCACAGAAATCTATTATTTTTCTCCAGTAATTAAATAGATTCAACATGTTTATTTAACAGAATTGCAGACTGCACAGGTGGTACCTTCCCAAAGGAAAGAATAATATAAGTTACACTAGACTTAATATTTACTGAATACAGTAATGGATTTCTATACATTTTACATCAGATAAAAACTTTGGTTGTGATTCAGATAATTATTTTTTAAAAGCTAGACATTTTAAATGAGAATAAGAAAGAAAAGTATTTCTTTGTGCCCCCTTTCCCTGTTAATGCCCTACCTGGCCCCCTGGCAAAACTTTGCTAGACCCGCCCCTGCACAGTTACCAGCTGTCAGCTACCTAAAAAAGGATCCTGGTGTTATTTGTCTCTCAGAAACAGTTCATAACTTCCCTTCAACTCATTCATGTCACCTAAAAGGTAAACCTGTTTCTCCATCACCTGTTCAGCTCTGATGATCCAGTAAGGACATCTCCTGGTTTCATCTTCATGTTTCCCTCTCACCAGATAACCAAACCGACATCATGACCAGCAGCTTTACAGCTGTGGCTCCAGCAAACATCAGCTGATACTAGAAATTAATATTAAATAAATTCTAACAACAGCTGATCAAGCTTAAACGTGCTGCTGTTGTTTAGCGCGACATCCGCTGGTTTCCTCTTTCTGGTGCAGAGAGAAGCCGATCAGCTGATCATTGATCAATTTCATGATATAACTAGCAACTTTCTAGCTGAAGAGGAACAGGACAAATCGCGTTTTCATCTCAACTTTAAAGTTCGACCTCGGCTGTAATTGGTCCAGCCCAGAGTTGCTCATGACCAACTGGCCAATCAACCACCATTCATTTATACCGTTAAAAAAAGAAAAGAAATAAAACCCCATCGGCCCATAAAAACAAAAAATCACGAGTGGCCCAGCGGGCAAATGCCCGATGGCCAGTCCAGCCCTGCCTGGAGTTGGACACCCCTACCTTAAATGTATTCACAACCTTGTTTGTGAAATATTTAATCACTTCTGTTGTGTAACCTCAATATAAAAAAGATAACTCTTTAAATGAGGACCTTCACTGACCTTCATTCTAGCCTGAAAAATATGCAGGCAAATTATGAGAAAGGCCGATGGGAAATGTAACAGTGAGGTCAGAGGTCAAATATGACATGATATTTGGATGTAAACTGTAATCCTTATTTTTTGTCATTTTTTTTTCACCAATAAATCAATAAGTTTACCTTAAAGACTTTGGTGGATGTAAGCCAATTTTTAATGGATGGTTAACACCCTCACTACACCCCTACAGCGTTTTACCAGAATTAATTCAAAACAAAACCCGCACAAATACACAAAATGCTACCAAAAACACAACCTCCTTGGTGTATGTGATGGCCAAACCCGTGGCCACACTCTAAAGTTGGTAACTTTTGTATTTTCATTCTTCATTTGAACATAGTCATACATTTTAGTTGCCAATAACTTTATTGATTGGTTTGGATACATTTGTTCTATTTGTAAGCGCGCACATTTAGTTTACTTATGTATTCATACTACTTAATTTCTTTGCTTTCTGACTAACTTTTGTCTTTTTATTTCTTACCTGCCATCATCCCTGGGAGTTGCTGGACAAAAGATGGCAGCCAGGGTTTGAAACCATTAAATACAAAGGAAGATAATTGGACCACACCACCACTTCCTGCTAAAGGGGGGAATGTGTGTTTTCTTTACTTTAAAAACAAAGTATTTGTATTTAATTAAATATTTGAGTTTAGGGTTTAATGGGGCTTTTTGATTTTGTTCTTTAGTGTTTAGTTTATTAACAAACCAGATTGTACTGCATCGTTTGTGATTTATGATTGTGTTTGTTTGTTACCCCTCATGTGTCACAATGGTCTGATCAGCCATTATATATACCCTTGTATGTCATTTCATGTTTAGGTCAATTATGTATGTTTGGGCAGTCAGTTGGTTTGTTAAGGTTGCAGTCGTTGCCGGAGTTCAGTTTTGTTTCTTTGACCTCTTTTATGAGCTCAACATTTATTAGTCTTGTAAATATAATTTTTGGGGGTTAAATAAATGGAAACTATATTTTTCTAATAATTCCTGGGCTCCTCCTGTTTTTCAACTCGGTCCATCACAGTGTAGGTAAAAACAGTTGGTTACAGCAAATGTAATCACAGGTTAGTACCAGATGATGGAGCTAAAGATCCACAAAAATGCATTCATTTTTATGATAGATTCTTTATTAGTCAACACAAAAGATCGATACAATACAAATAACCTCAGTTAAGATACAGTATACAGATTACAAGTTAACAATAAATTTATGAGAACTGATTCATTCTAAAAATGTGTACTTCACTGTAAAATCCTTACTTATGCTTTATAGTACTAGTTGATAGAGTTTACAACATTGGCAGAAATCTGTATGAAACCATCTTTGATAAAACACCTGGAAAAATAATGGCTTTCTACCAATAACTGCAGAGAAAATAGAAAAAAACGTAAGCAAGCTGTCATCGAAGATTTAAACGCCCCCCTGTGGTTCACTGTTCTAGATTATACGACTCTGCTGTAAGTTCATTTTGCTTTGAAAATTTTGCGCACTGTGGTAAAATGAAACCAGGGGCTGGATGTATAAACAGAATGTGTGCATTAAAAAACACGTATACGGTTTTCGCCACACATAAAGTGGTATGGTTTGTATTAGAGCGGAGCCCCACGTGATAGTGTGGGAAAAAGGTCAGGGAAACTTAACACATAACACAACAGTTCGCTACTCATAGACTTCAGTGACAATAATTTGATGTGCACTAAATTTTACCAAGCCTTTTTTTATTACTTATGGTAATTGTCGGAGCTATAAAAAGATGTGGCTCTGCATATAAATGTGTTTTTCTTGCAAGAACTGATGCCCTTGTAGTACAGCATTTCTGCCATGGTGTTTTTCTTTGAATTTATATAGTTAGTAGCCTCCACTGCTTCTTTCCTTACTAGTTTTTCTCCTGATCATGAACCTGAGATCAACAATTACACATTTCCCTTTCTCCCGCTCTCCAATAACCTTCCCAGTTATATACCGAGTGAAGCTGTGGTTCTTGTTTGCTCATGTTGTAATGATACCATAACAAGGGAGTGTGTACTTCCACTAATTGGTAAAAATAGGAATGGCAAAAATTGAGCTTTAATAAACCAAAAAAAGAGAAAGAAAAACAACAACAACAACACAGTTTTATATATTTGACAAAAAAAAGAATGTGCACATTTTCCCTAACCTTCCTTTGTGCATACAAACAGCTTTAGTCATGAGTATTCAGTGTTATATATCTGGCCCCATGATGTTGTGTTTTTGTGGAAAAAAATACGCGCAATGAAAACCTTTTCTCTCAACAGCGATATGCATCTTCTAATCAGAAAGGCTCACTAAAGAAAATCTCTGTTTAAAACTTTCAACCACACATTAAGTTTTTCATAAATAAATAGAATGAAACATCAAAATCTATATATTGTTTTTAAGTTGGGTCAATCGCTGTGATCATTTCCTTTGCTTGATGAAGACCTGGACATATGATACAAAGATACATAAAACTCCATGAGAGGAGTCTGAGTTACACGGGACCAATTCCAGATCTCTACATTTTAATTCATAGATGTTCTTACAGTAGCTTTACAAAACACTCCTCATTTCTTTATATTTTGTTTCCACTTCTTTAAATGTTCTTGAGCAACCGGGTTTCAAAATGTATTTCCAATTTTTTTCTGGACATTGGCTGCTTGTTCACTCATTTTCAGTCCCATCCTTGTAATTGGCAATTTTCTGACAAATTCTGTTTTTTGGTTTGTTAAGCCACCCAACACTGACCTATGAATCAGAGATAAAGAAACAAAAAGGCACCAAAACTCAAGGGATCAATTAGTGTTTTGTCTACATATAACAGACATTGCTTAGCAAATAACTCATTTTAAATTGTATCTTCAGGCACTTACTTACACTCACTAGTAGAAACAGGGTGGCTGTAAAGAAGTCGATTTAAAGGACTGGCAATGGGTTTTAAGGAGACATAATCCAAAATTGAAACTTCATTATCAATACTTATGGAGGTCAGGATAGAGGTACAATTGCATTGCTTGATGCTGTCCTTGTTAAAACTGGTGGAATTATGAGTTAAGAATAAAGAAAAGTACCACAATCATGTGCTACTTCATCTGGAAAGTGTCTGATTGGCAACAGCTTCGTTTTTGAGCAGTAAAGGCATACTGGGACAGAACAACACACAGTTGAATGCTATCAGTCATGGACAGGCCTCCCTAGATCCCGGATCTCAACATCACTGAAGCAATATGGGATCATCAATGTGGGAACAAAAGGCAGCCAACATTTGTCCTTCAAAAAAAACCTGAAGAACTATTAGAGAAGATTATTTAAAGAAATTACAAGAAAGAGAGTCATATCAAATATGCTGCTGGGAATTTCAAAAACTCTGTTTTTGCCTTATGTGTTGATATTTCCATGTATCTTTGCACACATTTCAATAAATCACTGCAGCTGTTTCACATTTTCCTAACAAAATGTAAAGAATTGAGTGGTGCATCAAGGCTTTTGCACAAAACTATATGTGTAAGGTCCCGTTCAAGGTTTGGGGAAGAAATATGCGATGGCAAATACGCTTTTCACACCCAATATTCAACTGTTTTTTGTAATGTTTTCTTTTTGCTATGCAGGTTAACAGCAGACTTCACACAAATGCAGTTGTTTTTTGTTGTAAAAAGCGTTTGTCCTTTTCTTTAATTTCCTGAAAACAGAGCAACATCTAGAAAATGATTTTTCTGGAACAACTCCATCATTTCTCAGGAAGATACATTTCCCATTGTAGGTCTGCTGTCCTTTGCTGATTGTGTTATTGTATACATTGATCACTGCTGGAGATTTAGTCATGTTAGAAATATATCACACAGTTCTAACATCAAACTGTGTACAAAAGGTCGCTAGCTCGAGTGGGTCACAGACACATCAGTGTTATTAAAACCGTTATTATATGGTATCCTGTACATAAACAGCATGTACTGTAGTGCAGAATGACAGCTTACATTATGTGCAATGGCGGTTTGTACAAATTGGTTTCTGTTATTCTAGTCAGACTGATTTAATATTCAGCCTTGTTACATCTGTAGAGTTTCTTTTAATAAGACAGGCATCTATAAACAACAAAGCTTCCAGAGCACAAAATTAAAATTACATTTAAATATTTACATCACTCATGGAAACTGGCACAGAATGGATTAAACGGGATTACAAACATAGCGTCTGTGCGCAGACATGCATGTGTATGTGCAAGCTTGGAGACAGGAATTATATTACATTCACAGTCGCAGAGGGAAGGTGGGTCGGGAGAGAGAGCGTATTGGCCGCAGAGAAATATAAACATTGAGAATTTCAGGCCATTTCCAGGTACACCAACTCAGACTTATTACATAGTGTAAGAGAGTGCACCTGCTGTCTTTCTCTCTCTCTTGCACAAATACACACACACGCACACACACACACACACACACGCACACACACACAAGTAGGATGTGGTCTATGAGCGGCAGCAGCCAGCGGTCCTCATTTCTTTGTCGACGTACTCCTGCAGCTGAAACTTTGGCTCATCGGGTTCCTTCATGGTCCTGTGCTTCAGTTCCCTGACACAGAGAGACATAAAGACTCTTATAGAACTAAACAGGCACTGAAAGTGGTTAAAGTGCAGTAAACCTAATTTTCATATATATATAAATTCATTTTGTTCTCTTTTCTTTTCTTCTTCACCCCTGAATAATGCTCTACCCTGACTCCCACAGAGCCCATGTTCCTGCTTTGGAGCACTGCGCTCATGTTTTAGGGATTACACAGAGGTGGTTTCACTCTGTTCAAGTATCTGGCCAACAACACCTCATCCAGAAAAAATATCTGATGAACCTCTTCACGACTAGTTCTAGCAACAGGAGCCTCCTGTGATTGCAAGGGCTTGTTAGTAGTTGTTGCTGGTACTACTGTTGGCTGTGCTGGTTAATTTGAAGACATTAGGCTGCATCTATTTCTAGTTTCTTTGTTATTCTCTCTCAGCTTTTCAGCTCCATCATTTCACTTTTATTTGTCCATCTTTATCAACCGCTTCTTCCTCACTAAGCTCTGCTCCACAAGGTGCAGAGTTTCTGCCACACACACAAAATAAAGTATCCATAACTCGAAATTTCGAGTTAATAAGTCGAAATTTTGAGTTAGCTCTGCCAATCAGTAATCTATGTGAATGATGTCCTTTTCTTATTACCCGGAAGGATACGGCGCAGAGGAATGGACACTCAAAACCGGATCGCAACAAATTGGGGCTTTCGAGAGTACGTTTGCTGATAGTAACGCCATGTGATTCAGCTAATAACACAGGGATTTCATCATTTGTGAAGCCACGCTGAACATTTGTGCATTCATGACTGGCTGTAATACTGGTAGCTTAGCTGTAGCATTTGTAGCTGAGGGCTCCAGTTTCTGGGTAACAAGGAAATGACATCATTCATGTAGATGACTGATTGGCAGAGCTAACTCAAAATTCGAGTTACTTTTCTCAAAATTTTGAGTTAATAAGTCGAAATTTCGAGTTAGGGATACTTTTTTTTGTGGCGGAAACGGGCTTCCATAGTTACGTGAGGCAAATTGCATTAAAAGTTTTGATTGGACAATCCAGCGCCAGTTGAAAAACATGAACCAATGGGCTGCTGTCTGTGCTGGTAGGCCCAGTGCGCAGCGGCACTTCAAGCGGGCCTGTATAATCGGCAAAGCATAAAATAAGAATTATATTGACCCATCGACCTACAAGCACATTGACCCACTGGGAAATGGCCAGATTAGCAGTCCAGCTCCCTGAGGCAACTGTTATTGTGATTTGACCCTATATAAATACAACTGTTTTCTTATTAAATGCCATGCCATAAACACTGAATTACAGATGACCACCAAGTGTCATTTCTCTACCGTTTTTTGACTTTCCAAAGAAACAAAACCAACAAAAAAAAATATAGATCAGATTAGTGACTTGAGGAGCCCCTCTAGGTAATACTAATAAAAAGAGCTGAAGGAGCCTTTGCCATAAATAACAAAAACAAAAAATGTTATATGAAAACCTATAGATCACTTCTGTCAGTGGGTCATTTGTCGACGTCACTCCTGCACTCTGTCTCAATGCCAAACATGTACTGTTTGGTTACCTGGTTTCATTGCCTTTTGAATTTGTGTTTTGTGCAAGTAAAGGCTCACTGGAGTGGAACAAATAAAAACATAGGGCAGAGATGAGAGATGAGGTGAGTCAGCGATGACGGAGGGGTTCGGAGAGAGACGAGAGAAGCAGAGGGATGAAAAAACCGAGAAGGTGTTCACATGAGCTGGAAGACAACAACGGGAAAATATTTAATTTCATATTCTGTTTGCAGTGTGATTGTGTGCCAGACTGTGCTACTCTATTCTTGGCATCAGCCCTCTCTGCCAGTCTGTTACCATAACAAGACTATAAGTGTGAAACAGCTCCCACACACTGTCCGACACCACACATTTGTCAGAAACACAATCAAAATACTATTGCCAACGTTTTTATTTCTATTAAAGTTCATGTTAAGAGAAAAGACACTCATGTTATATCTGATCTTATAGATGAATATGTCATTTGTATCTGTGTCTAAACGCTTTATCTTAGATATTTCTTTTTTTAGCTTTCTAGTTCCAAATATAGCATGAAAATGTGTTCATAAAACAAATGAGCAACATTTGTCCGGCAGTGCTTCTTGTGGATACATCTGTCCAGATGTACACTGCATGACAGCAATTCATTTTGAATCTTCCATTGATATTATCCCAAATAGTACTAATTATACAAATTCACTCACCATACATTCCCTGCCTGTTTCATTAGTTACATCATCCTAGTACTGGGCTGGACCCCCCTTTAACTTAAGAACTGCGTTCTTTTTGGGATGCAGTGCATCCAGAAAGCATTATCAGCCTTACACCCTCTGCATCCCTATTCTCTTTGCAGTGGCAGTGCAAGAGCGTTCAGCTGTTTGCAGGCTTTTGAGGAGGCGCACCAGTCTTTGTCTAAGTGGAACCAACTATGTTAGCTAACATATTATATAATTTAAAATAAAACCTAATCTTTGTAAAATGTGTTAGTCTCCATATTTACGTTGCAGATTTGGAGCCAGGCTGTAAAAACAGTGTTTCACTTGTTCCATATTTTCTAACATTAATGCCCTATATGAAACTTCCAAACTTCTTCCATTTACGAAAAATAGAGGCCATTGTGCTCATTGGGACCTTTAGCGTTGCAGAAATGTTTTGATACCATTCCCAAAATCGGTGCCTCAATGCAATCCTGTCTCAGGTTTGTACAGAGAATTCCTCGGACTTGATGACTTAGGTTTGCGCTCTGACATCCATCTATGGGATCTTATATACACAGGATACCAAGTCATGTACAATCAACTAATATCACCACAGCTGGACTCGAATCAAAGCTGGAACCCAACAAAATACTGATCAAGTAAAGCCCTGTGGATTGTTAAATGGACTGATTCTTATATAGCACTTTTCTACTCCAACCACTAACCTTCTGACCAGTAGATGACCTGCTCTACCTCCTGAGCTACAGCCACCCCAGGGACAGTATATGTGCTTACACTCTGGGGATGACGATAGATTATGCTGACCTGTAATTTGGAAACCTCTGAATTACAGCTGCTAATCATAAATTAGTTAGCTAACTAGTCCCACGATCCAACTTTAAGCAATTCATTTTGATACTTTACAGGTGCAAATTTATCTTACCCTAATTTGTAGGGACGGCCTTTAACACTAAAGACTGTAACACTGTACCTGATTGGCCAAAAAACATGATCGTGTTTAATTTCAATCAGTCAGTTTGAAAAACTGATCATGATTGCTCAATAAGAGTAGAAGGAGTGCCCTTTTATTTCAGTCGTTTTACCAATTTAGTTATACTGTGATCAATCTTAGCAGTAGCTTGTATTGCATTTACTTTACGTTTAGTATTTCAGGCATTTTGAATCAATTTTGCTGATACTGCTCACGTCTTTTCAACCATAGTCTCAATTGCCCAATTTCTAACGTATGACTTAAATCATGTTCCTTTCTTTACATGAAAAAGCTGTTTGCTTTTAAGAATAAATGGCACTTGGCAGACTGTAGTATTTTCTTGTATGGTCAAACACTGACATGTGATGTTAAAAAGGTGTCTCCTTTTCATAAATAAATCATTTTTGTCCATCTTTAGAATCAGGTGGGAAGTGATACAACAAAAGGCCTTACTCGCTTGCATTAAAAAAAATCCTGGGTCTAAAAGGTCTAAGTGCTTTGGGTAGAATTGGAGCTAAACTTGGTGCTATTAAGATCAGTCTGGAAAAAGTCAAACTCAGTAACATCAGTTACACAGCAAATGCTTTCTAAATCAGCCAAAATTTGGGTAAAACTTATAATGGAAAACCACTTAGTGTAGTCAAATGAGCAAACGTTACTCCTTAAGTTGCATATGCTTGCTTTATGATCACATCTAATCTCCCTCTGAGATTTAATATTTGTGCTGTTGTGCTGAGACTCACCTGGCCACAGCAGTGAACGCCAGCTCGACATTCAGTCCAGATTTTGCACTTGTCTCCATAAACGGCACTCCAAATTCCTGCATACAGAAAAATATCTTTTCAGGTGTGTGTGTGTGTGTGGCCATGCCACTTGTCTGTCTTTTACTGTGAGGACATAACGACCTAAATTGCAGAAAAATTAGACTTATGATTAATTTAAGATTGGAAGTATATTCGTGCCGAGGGGTTTATGACACCTGGGGAGGGATGAGAGGGTTGATGATCAATACTAATATTTCAAAAATACTTGTGATGGCTACTGAGGTTCCTGGCTTTCAAAACTAATTTTCTTGTCATTTTGTTGTAATTTGGAAAAAGAGCGAGAACGCAGAATGTGGTCGATGAGAGATGCTCCCAGGTGAAGCAATCTCATTCCGTGTACGTGTGAATATCTCAATATTCCTGCTGAGTTTGTTACCTTGACAGCTGCTGTGCGTCTGCCACACTACTCCATACCACTTCATATTTAGCCTTCTCTAACATGCCTCTCAGAGCTTATCTGAGCGAAACGGCCTGGAAAATTAAGTTAGCAATCCCCCGTCATTTATTCCAAACAATAACAACATTATGTGCCTGTATGAATACATAATTGCACACACTAATCAAGACACACAAGCCATACGGGGTGGGGGTAGGAGAGAATTTCAGGGTCAACTTTGCTGCATGAGCGGATTAAGTATAGTAAGTATTTTTTATTCTTGTTACATGTGTCAAACGTTATGTGTGCTATGTGTATAGGCACAAGTTTGTGTTATAGAAAGCTCACCTTTGCCAGTTTCTCCCCCTCTTCTCGCTTCACCACCCTGTCATGTGTCACGTCAGCCTAGAACATATGGGACAGACAGCACAGAATCAGAAACTGTCACTTATATTCTTCTCACAGTGTCTTTAGTGTAGTTGGTCCTAATGACAAAATATGTTTTTTAATAAGCATAAAAAAATAAAGAGACTGTGACCCTCCTCGTTTTAGATGCTTGAGCTAGCAACTCTATAACAAGCACAATTTTTTTAGGACTGTTGCTATTTCATTAGCTCTGCTAATCTAGTTACCATATTAGCAAGTCGGTATGAGAACACAATTACCTAACTGGAAGAAAAATTAGGTTTATTATTTGTGTGAATACACGTCTTTGAACATAAAGCTTTTATTTACATTATATTCTTTTATTTTTTAGCAACTTCATGGCTATTTAATATATAATATTCGACTTTCAGTATTGGCTAGTAGCTAGCTTTCTGCTAGCTTAGTTATTCTAGGGTTTACAGAAAATGCTATTACTGTAAATACAGCTGATAAAAGTGGAATTTACAGTCTAAAAACTAAGTCTACAGCAAGTATGTTACTGAGCAATTAGATACTTGTTAGGATGCCTGGGTCGTCGACCCAGGGTTTTTGAGTTTATGATATTATTTATACTGTCTAGTTTTTGGTTTCTTTGAGTTCTGTCTT